AGTATTTATTTTTTGGATAGAATATGGAAGTGTTGGAAAAGGGGTAGGCAATTTCTGCACTCCAGCTGTTCTGAAGCTTCAAGTCCCAAGATGCATTGCAAGACTCTGCCAACCACAGGCAAGGAGGATGGTGAGGTTTGTAGGTTCAACACAGCTGGAGAGCTGAGTTTACCTACCCCTGTATTAGACCTTCTGTTTTTATTGATGTCTGTGTCCTTGTTGTCTTCTCTCACTTGCTGGCCTGGGGACCAAGCGGGAAGTGAGGGTTATCTCCCAAATAACATTTGCTTTAGCTTGGCACCTGTTTCTAGAGACAGCATCTGGGAATATAACTTTTCTTCTGCAGTAGCCTATACCAAGCAATCAAATTTCATCTAACGTAAGTCAAGCCTGGGGAAGACAAACCTTGTACTAAGTAAGGTGTCAGTTAATTGATACACTGTCTGGCCAAAAAAAAAAAAAAAAAGTCACCACCTGGATATAGCTTAGCAAATACAGTAGTTAAGAGCCTTCCATTGGATAAGTGTTATGATCTGGGGTTGCTTCAGTTTGTCAGGTCTAGGTTCATCACTGTTATGTTCCCAAAAAAAGAGGTTAGCTGCCTTCCTGAATATACTGAATGATCAGGTTTTTCCGTCAAAGGATTTTTTCCCCTGATGGCACATTGGGCATATTCCAAGGTGACAATGCCAGGATTCATCTGACTCACATTGTGAAAGAGTAGTTCAGGTAGCATGGGACATCATTTTCACACATGGAATGACCACCACAGAGTCCAGACCTAAACCCCATTGAGATCTTAGTGAAAAATCAATGCATCTCTGGATGGAAATAAATGTTGTGACATTGTATAAGCTTATCGAAACCATGCCACAGCTAATGCATGCCGTAATCAAAGCTAAAGGCAGTGTTTAAAAGGGTGACCCCTTCTTAGTAAAGAGAATTCTCCTGGTGATCTATCGGTGTAGTTGACTGACTGGGAGAAGGGGACTCTCCAAACCTTTGTTCGTGTTATACACATATTAGCTAATGAAATACCTGAGAGGGAAGGCGGAGAGCCAACAGGAGTTGAAGGATTGGATGAGTAGCTGTTGTTGGTGTGATCGGGAGAATAGATCTTGAAAGGAAACAAAAAAAATTGAGTCAAACTTCTATTGTACATACAGACATACGTATTGCTGAAAGTGACAAGCTCTTTTAATTCAAGCTAGCCTGCCCTCCCTCCACTCCCTAAAATGGGGGCAAATAAGTAACTTAACATTCTCTAAGATCTCCATCTGGCCAGATCTCGGAGATTGTTAAGAAGCCCAAATCTTGCGACACGATCTTGCGAGATTTGGGCTATCTTGTTGGCGGGAGGTTGACGTCACCCCCTGCACTGTGGAAGATCAGGAAGAATTACAAAAAGCTCACCCAGATTCAAGTAGGAATACACATGACTCTTGTATTCGGTTAATATTTGCTTATCCTGGCATTCAGCTTTAAGCGATACAGCCTGATCTCCTCCCTACCCCCAGCTTGTGACTGGACGTGTCACAGCATGTTTGCATTCAGCCCGCTTTTTTTTGGTTCCAAGCACTGCCTCTATCCCTCCCAATTTTCCCCTCCTTGCCCCCAGCCTGTAAATGCATAGCAAGGGAGCATCAGACTGATCTCTTCTATCAGCATGTTCCTTACCCGCATATTCACATACAACCCATCTGCATTGCTTTCTAGTGCTAATTCCTTAATAGGTGAGTGTTGAATCAGCCAGTTTATGAGTTTACACTGCTTGGGTCTATTATATAAAGATAATGCAAAAAAAGCAAACTGCATTTGCTAAACATTTGCCCGAGCAGACACAAAACAATAAAAAAAAATTATTGCAATGTATCAGCTTTAACTGTCCGATTAACAGCAAATCAAAGAGCTAATCAATAATACAGAAGCAATTTAAACTTACAGAGGCCAAAGCTTTACCCAGCGCATCCCCAGTCTGCGAGCTTCCCGCTGCTCCGCTACCTCTGCTCGCTGAAAAAAGAAGAAAAAAAAGAAAAAGAAAACAAAAGCAAGAGTGTTAGGACAAGCAGGGAGGCATGTTACAGGTTTCTATTCCTGGTCCACTTACCCGTAATGTAATTGCATTTTAATGCTAATTATATTGCATTAATCTTTAATTAGCATTAATTTGTTTGCTAAGGTAGATGTCAAATATATTCATGTTACATTTTTATGAGCAAAAATATGAACGCTGCTGGTTATCCACTTATTTACGGTGCAATTATGCTATCTGAGGCCTGGGCACCTCCGGATCCCTGCACAGGAGAAGCGGCCCTAGGTTGGGGGATGCTAATCGTAACACGTGAACCTCAGAATAGGTGCAGTGTTCATTTAGGCCCCACTCCGGAGATTATGGAATTAATTAATCTGCTGATTTAGAATTCAAACACAGAAAGTTGTGCTTTGCTTTCAGACAGCACATTCGTAGCAATGGATACAAGGAAATGGCGGTCTTCTGATAATATCGCTGTTAGGAAAAGCGGAGGATGTTGACCATAAAGATCAGCCAAACTAAAATGTTACATGCTGCCTAGAGATTTTGAAATTAAGTTGTTAAAAAGTAATTGTGGGCAAAATTTTAAAAAATGTAATCACTAACATGAATAAGGACGTTGGTATCAAAGTTTTAATCTGATTTCTGATCCAATACTGTTCCTGTAATAGGGTGACAATGCTGTTGGGTCTCTAATTTAATAGTCACCCTGTTGGACAGGGTAGTCTTAGGTAGTTTAGGTGGACTTACATTTTTTACTTGCTTTATTCTGAAAACTCCAAAATTGAAGTTTTTCTTTGCTTTGTAATGTAAATGTGAAACTAAACGCAGGAATTAAATCTTAAAAATGCATTCAGTACCTTAACTAGTAACAAAAATTTATCTTCTTTGTGTATCACTCGGCTGTAGATCCTCAAATCATCTCTGAATTGGTGCTGACACTGTCCTTCCTACTGGAGGGGGGCTACTTTTGTTCCCCATGGTCCCTGTGTGTGCTGTAAAGTAGCCACCACTTCAAGCTCGCTCACATGATGGACTACAATCTCAATACAAATGAGTAAACAAGACATGAGATTGTAGTCCATCACGGGAGTGAGATTGGAGTGGTGGCTACTTTACAACACACACACGGACCATGGGGAACAAAAGTAGCCCCCCTGCAGAAGGAAGGACAGTATCAGCACCAATTCAGAGATGATTTGAGGATTTACAATCGAGTGATACACAAATACAAATATTACAATTTTTGTTAGTTAATAGTTAAGGTACTTGAATGGATTTTTAAGATTTAACTTCTGAGTCTAGTGTCACTTTAAGGAGAGGGCTGAAGAGATAGTGTTTACCATACTCACCCTTGTCTGTACTGAACTGGCAGAGTTCATTATCAGTTGTAAACTAGATTTGAACAATGTCTGTCCTAACAAAGGGTTAAAGATCGTAGGGCTTGTGTTCAGAATTGTATGTCAATGAGAGGAAACTAAGCCCCCCAAATTCACATTGTAAACATTGACCATGTACACAACCCCGCCAGCGTTATTATTAGGTTTGACCCAACCTTCGCAACTGATTTTTTTCTGTACAGCTTTTTCAGTACTAGCAGGATCACCATGCAATAAAACTATGTTACAAGGAGGACTAGTGTTAATGCTGTTGAGAGACTGATAAAGGACATTTGTAAGAAACACAAACACATGTCAATCTGTATGAGTGCATTACAAGCAGGCCCACTCGGGATGTCACCGTCGATGGCTGAACTACTTCTCCCAGTAATTCTTACAGCTAACTACTCATGATGATGTACAATGAGATTGTAAGTGCATTTAGGTGAAACCATGAACATCAGCCCATGTAACATACAACAGTCAAGACTCTTTGTGTCAATAGATGTTAGAGGTGTTATCCATCAGGACAGACAAATAATGGGGTGCTTACCTGCCCCCCACCAGCAACAAAGGATGAATGGCCATGCTGGGTCACTTTCTACATAAAAAAAAGGGGGGGGGGGGGTCAGGTAGAGAATGGCATGGAGGTAGCAGGCCACCAGGTAAAAGAAGGTATTAGAAGAAGGTATTAGGCTTGAAGTACACCTGTCATAACAGAAGGAGGCGGGCTGCTTTTGATAATGCTTGTTGCCTGTCTTTCTGGTTTCAATCATCTCTAAATGAGAGTCAAGCATGCCTTAAATAACTGTCAGAAACAAATTCCTTATCTTTAAATTTGTTTCTGGTCAGTGGTTCAAAGAATGTTATCCAAAGCACCAGCATGTGGGAAGGAATGATGGCCTACACACATTCTTTCATGACAGGTACACTTTAAAGACAAATACAGCAGTTTATTGTAAAATTTGCACTTTTGATTGGTCAGTTGCCTTTTTTTTGCCTGGATTTTAAGTTTCAATACTATTAGCCTTAAAAAAAAGAATTAAAGAAAATACTTGATTGTACAAAAGGCTAGGCTAGTCCTATTAGAAAACAGGATTAAATAATTAATTACATTAGTGCTGCGTGAACCTGTCACCTGGCTGGAGTGTGTGAAAGGACAGAGATAAAGGGCAGAAGCAGGAGAACTGGGAACTGGGACAGAGCAGAACTTCGGGGTGGGGGAATGCTGACTAAAGATTATACATATTATTGAAAAGCAGGAGAATGGGTTGGCAGGTATAATAGAGCACTACCAAAAGTGAAAACCAGGACTGCCCAACCCACAACAGGGCCCAATGACCTTTTTCATTGGCGCCACTTAGTCTATGGGCACCTTAATGTAGTTAATCTCCAGCATGTCAATGCTTTTTCTTAATCTTAAATAGAGTTTGGAGGGTTTAGACCTTGGGTGGATAACTCTGGCCCTCCAGCTGTGCCCTACCTACAAATCCCAATATGCCTTCACCTCTGTCAGAGTCTTGCAATGCCTCATGGGACTTGTAGTTCCACAACAGCTGGAGGCCTGGAGTTGCCCACCCCTGGTTTAGACCCTCTGACATTAGTTTTTCTGTGTGTCTATGTTCTATCTGGCCATCGCGAACAAAGACTACCATAAAAGAACTTCTCTTTTCAGAGTGGGAAGAGGTAGGAATCTGTCAGGTTTTTATTACTGTGTGCACCTAGATTCACACTTGAGAGAATCCCATCGCACTCCTGACCGGATACAACTCAAAACATTGGGTGGGTGCTGTAATGACCGCGCGTGCCACCGCAAATCAAGTACAAATCCAAAGGTAGTCACCAGCACACCAAAGCATATTCTGTCAATTCTTCTTTATTGACAAAAGAAAGGTATGTCACAATGTGTAGCCATGTTTTGGAACCATTTCGGTCCCTTCTTCCCATTTCTCTGTTAGCCTGAAGAAGGAACCAAAATGGTTCCGAAACATCGCTACACATTGTGACATACCTTTATTTTGTCAATAAAGAAGAATTGACAGAATATGCTTTTGTGTGCTAGTGACTATTTTTGGATTTGTTAGAAAGATTATTCTCACTTTCTGCATGGTCACCATGATTGGAAGTAAAGGAAAATATCCCCAACAAAGACACTTATAGCAATTAAAGCTTAAAAGAATTTCTAACCCTTTTCTTCTCTATCCAACATCAACACAAACTGTTAGCTGGAGTTTAAGGAATGTGTTCGGTGTCCCTAAAATAGAAGAAGAAGAGTCACAGCACTGAAATGGAAGTAAAAAAATCAATGTGCTTTTATTTATGTAGCATCACAAAGGTAAATTCAGTCAACATTTTGGGGCCTTGAATGGTCCCTTTCCCAAAGCAATCCAGTTACCTGCCATCACTGTATTGCTTGAGGAAGGGACCCCGCAAGGACCCAAAACATTAGCTGATGTGATGATACATAAATATCATTACATTGATCTTTGAATTTCATTTGAGTGCAGCTTCTTCTTTTACTGGCATACACACAACGCCATCCACTGCTGTCACTACAAGCAACATATAGTTACATCGGTCACAATATAGGATGGAGTGAAGCACAGAACATCACAGAACTGTAGATCTTTGGGGTTTACCTAAAATAATGTACTTGCCCTTTAAAATTAAAAAAGAAAATGTGAAACCTTCAATTCCCTTGTAACTTTCTAAGATTCCAACAGACATTCCCAGTGTTTACATTTCTAATGAACCAGCGCCCAGGCCAAAGACACAGAAGAGATTTTTGTGGATTTTTGAGATTAATATAAACCATGCAGCGGAATAACACAGAACAGACAAAACTATTTTGAAGCCTGGCTGGCATTTTGCTTGAAGTTCGGCAACTGTAAGAGACGGGAAATAAAACCAACTGCAGTGAACTAAGGCTGCTTTCATGCCAGTGGCGGAGGGCCAGAAAAACATGGATTGGAGGCTGACCAGGGTAAGAATAATACATGATCTGGGATAGTTTATTACCCTCAAGAAGCCCGTAAATGTAGACAGTCAAACAAATATTTTTAGGGGCTGCAGCCACGACTTCTGCTGCAGTGAATGTTATTAACACAGAAAGACGGAGTGTTATGAACCCGGGACATCGGGTTGTGAGCAAGTCGGAAGCTTTTTCTGCATTTTTCCTAAAAAGGAATGGTTCAGAGTCTTAAGATGTCTATCAACTGGCACTTAGATGTTTCTGATACGTCAGTATGGTCGGCTTTTTGAGCGATCATAATCAGTATGCAAGGATTTTTTTTTTCCCTTATGGCAATTCCATATGTATGCATACACGTGTTCAATCTACTTGTGCTCAATCCTAGCACAATATTTTATCCCAATTGGATTGGACTAGTACCACATGTGAATTCATGGCCAAACATTGCATAGAGAGTTTAATAGAACCTTGCCAGACTACTACTTGTGCGCAATGCACCTAAGTAAAATAACAGGGAGACAATTAAATCCAGGACTCAAGGCTAGTCCTCATGCTTTGCTAAAAGCATAACAAGCCTTTACTGCTTACTAAACTGATAAAAGGAAGAGTCCTTCATAGGAGGAAAACAAACACAACTCCAACACAAAGAAACAGCAGTAACATTACGCAATCAGTGAACATAAAACTGAAAAACAAATGTATATTATATATTAATTGCATGCTTGCAGAAACACAAAATGTGTTTAAGGATACCTTAGCCATAGTAAAGAACTTCTAACCTGCTTCTGGAAATGCTATGTTCCTGGCTGTTATACTCCCCCACTGGCTTTAAGACTTTGGGGGTGATTTACTAACCTAAACACACGCACGCACCAGGTGCTTGTGATTTTTACACAGCAAAGCGTATTTATCAACCAAAAAGTCTCTATAAGCATGTTTCCACTAATGCCATATATGGAAAAATCATGCACATGATGCATATATAATGCTGCTTCACAGTTTAGACAAAAATGGTTAGCTCATGCATTTACATTCCTGCATTCATCAACGCAAGCAACACAACATAGAGCTAATTTACACAACATCACCTTGCAAATTCATGCAGGGCTTTGCACAACACACCTGCTGGGTGTGTACACACTACAAAGGTGTTTAGATTCCACACATAGATCATGCTGGGAGGGAACACACTACAGAGGTGTATACATGTTCGTGGTGTGTTTATAAGGTTAGTAAATCAACCCCTTTGAGTCACTGACACAGAACAAGTAAGAAGCTCAGAAACATCAGGTGTTCTGGCAATTGCAGCTTCCATGTTTCTCTCAAGAATTATCTCCTCTAAAGGAATATTTCATTTATACGTCGAGTCTAACATTTCCCTGATTTTATCTGCTTCGTGCACCCTAGTGGCCACATCTCACTAACATGGAACCTGGCTCTGCTGCTGCTCATCTTGGGGTGATACTTCCCACTTATAAATACATTTAAAATCTGGCAGGAAACGAGGGACCCTTATAATGGCCAAAGCAAATGTGCAAACCTGGGACCTCAGTGGAGAAATTGCCCAATAGAAAGAAGATACCATTGAATGGTTTTAAACCTAACTCCAGACTCAGCCCCGCCTTCCCGAAGGGCCTCTAGGAAATATGTTGTGCATATTTTTTTATACTTACCTTTTTCATAAGTCTTCAGAATGGTCTCATGACCAGCAGGATTATGTTCCTCTTGCAGCAGCGGGCAGTCCTATGACACCCAGCATTTATAATGTCCTCAGTCTTCCTGTTTGGATGAAGGGCACCATTGAAACTGGGAGACTCACTGATCTTGTGATAAAAAAGAAGTACTGCAGACGACAGTGGACTAAAAGTGAGTATTGCAGCAAGAGGTGCTTTTTTCAGCTGGACCATATTAAAAAAAAACAAAACAAAAAAACTGGAACTGGGCTTTAACTCTATAGCAACATTTGGTTTGAGTAGACAGACCATTTCTAAAAGAATGGATTCAGCCAAAAGTAAAAAAAAAAAGTGTTGGCCTTTAAGGAAGTAGAGTTAAGGGCAGTGTGCCTTTACCTTCAACTTTGCTACCCAAGGGTGGGGTTCATATAGCATTTGCATGAAAATTCCAGTATGATTGAGGTCATCATCAAATGCTCTCAAATGATCTTAGAAATGTTTAACATAATGCAGTTAGTTTGTATTTAATGTAAATGATACCATCCCAGCACACTGCAGAGAACACTGAGCCATTCAACACAGAGGAGGGACTCGCTCTCTAACATTCCATCCACATGCACACACAAATATGCTCTAGGGTCAATCTGGTCAGAAGCCAATTAAAGAAAACTGGTCAAAAAGCAAAACAAACCCTTGTATAAGAAAGCTTTGTTGGAGGCAGCAATCTTCTGGCTCCTGTGCTACTCACCAGTTGTAAGCCAGTGAAGCTGGACCTATTCAAGTGTTCTGTTTTGTAAAGTATTTCATTTATATGAAACTTAGGGCTGTCATTGAGATCCTAATGCTATCCCCAATCCCATAGCACAATGTGACACTTAGCCAAAAGTAAGGTCATTTAGGGCTATTAAGGGAGAAAATATAGAGTGCTCGTGAGGTTGGAAGCATTCATAAACATGCTCAGAGACTTTCCCGTCTCCATGAAACGGGGATGATTTTCTATGTGAGAACAGAGAAGGCAAGTGACAACTGTACATCAGTTGTGTAAGTTGGTTTGGGCACATTGTATTAGAAATGGGCAATTGACAGTCCTTGAGGAGATACCTGTTCATCTGTGACTATCCTTATATGTTAATGCAGAAGTTCTACTTTAATCCTAAAAGATGCATCAATAAAAGTTGAAAGTCTTTTTCTTTTCTGCACTACGCAAATCTCTATGTTACAAAAATAAATACATAAAAATGGTGATACAAGTAAAAAAACTTACACATAATACTTTCTGTTCCATTGGCAGGCGGTGTACAGGAAGAGGCGTTATAATGATTTGTGCTGCTACGATGAAATGTGGACATAGGAGGAAGACTAGAATTGATGTCCGTTGAAGAGTGTGATGGATAGCTCTGTAAGGATGATAAACAAGGACAATATTCAGCCACGCATAATACAATTAACCATCTCACAATGACAAAGTGCATTTTAAACACTTACATCCTTTATGTTTTGACTTCCCTGAATGAGTTTTTCAAAACTTCTTTGTAATCTGTCAGGTTCCCTTATTGTGTCCTCCTATTTTATTCCCAATTACAAATGTAAACCATCCACTGTGTTTTTTATGCAACCCTGTCAAACTGCTGAAACTATCCAATAAATTAATGCGTGCTTGTCTCTGAGAAATTACCATCTTGTGAAATCAGCAGAATGTTAATTCTGATTTTTTTTGTGTAAAATGACCATAAAACCCAAAATACAAAAACATTATGTAAATAAGGAAAATTGTACTAAAGGTATCCTCATTCTATGAAACATGCGGTATATCAGTCCTACCCTTTAATAACATATATAAGTGGAAGCCCTGGGTATATAAAAGTAACATGACCATTATTTTCAGAAAGGGCAGTGCCTTGATGAAGGTGGAGGAATTGGCCAGGGCTTCTACTGGACTCAATAATGGTCCAGCACTAACCTCACCTCTGTCTTTTTCAAGGCATCTCATCCAATGAAACAACCTAAATAAGGCTGCCCTTTAACCCCTTCATGACGGGAGACATACACTGTACGTCCAGCCACAAAGGGACCAAATGACTCGTCACGTACACTGTACGTGACGAGTTATTTGCTGCACTAGAAGGCTGCTAACCGCTGAGAATCAGCGGTTACCTTTCAGTAATAGATGTCTAACTATCTAGAGATCCATTACTGAAAGGGTTAACCTTTTTCAGACACCCGATACCTTAATATCGGGTGTCTGAGAGTCACAGCAAAGCAGACACACATGTCGGCTTTTGCCGGCATTCTGACAGCTCGTATAGATCGAGAGAGATATCTCTCTCAAGCTATACTGGCTTTTTTTTTTTTTATCTTTTGACTTTCAAGAATAGATACAAAATGTTATGTATTAGACACATAATGTATCTATTCTTGAAAGTAGAATGTTTAAGTTTTCTGAAACATTCACTGACAGCTGAATCCTGAACTGCTGCAGGATCAGTGTCACTAACTTATTATCGGCTGTTCTGAAGTTTGAAGCAGCCTGATAATAAAAAAAATGTATTAATTTATCAAGCAGTAATAGTGAGATTAATTCACAATGACTGCCTGATATAATTAAATAAATAAAATTTGTCAGTATAAAAAAAGTGAAAAGTGTAAATAAATTAAAAAAAATAGTGAAAAGTGTAAAAAAATTAAAAATAAGGGACAAATAAATGAATGTATGTATTGCATTTTTTTTTAGCTGTGCTGGTTTTGTTAAAAAAAAATACTACAAATCAAAACTGGGAAAAAAAGTTTTTTTTTACGTTTTTTCCTCTTTTTTTAATTTGTATTTGTCCTAAGTGAGGCGTTAGACACACATATGTGATATAAATATATAGCCCTATCTGTCCTCTAAAAAACAATATATAATATGTGTGGGTGCACTTTGTAAGAAAGTATATTACTGACGTGGAAGAATCACACAGCAAAAATGTCAAAAGTGTGTCAGTCATTTATGAACAGAAACTAAAAATAAGCTCAGTCATGAAGGGGTTAATAGGCAGTGCACTGACAAGTTGATAGTTTTTACCACTGAAGCTGGACAAACAGTATGGCCAAAGCTCAAAGTCCATTAAGAGGATTTTTAGCTTAAAGTGACACTAAACTCAGGAGTTAAATCTTAAAACCGCATTCAAGTACCTTAACTATTACCAAAAATGTATCTTATTTGTGTATCACTCGGCTGTAGATCCTCAATTCATCTCTGAATTGGTGATGACACTGTCCTTCCTTCTGGAGGGCGGCTACTTTTTCCCCCTCCCCATGGTCCCTGTGTGTGTTGTGAAGTAGTCAGCGCTCCAAGCTCACTCCCGTGATGGACTATAACCTTGATACAAATGAGTAAACTAAACATGAGATTGTAGTCCATCCCGGGAGTGAGCTTGGAGCGCTGACTACTTCACAACACACACAGGTACCATGGAAAACAAAAGTAGCCACCCTCCAGAAGGAAGGACAGTGTCAGCACCAATTCAGAGATGATTTGAGGATCTACAGCCGAGTGATACACAAATAAGATACATTCTCGGTAATAGTTAAGGGACATGAATGTATTTTTAAGATTTAACTCCTGAATTTAGCGTCACTTTAACAAATGTAATAGCATACACCTTTATTTTAGACTACAATGTTGAAAATAATAAGAGTATGGTCATCTAAAGGCCATGTGTACCATAATCTAAGCAGTGATATCAACTGAAAAAATAAATATATATATACACAGTACCTCATCTTTTGCCAGGTTGCTACAAAAATAGTCACTGTGATATACTGTTAATTATTGTTTTAGGAAATATCTGCAGGGGAATGCTGTGGTTTAGAAACTTGCCCTTGGGTGCTCCTTGTCCAGCAGGCGGTCCTGAAACATTCAGGATACCACTGCGACTACCCCATCAGTGCTAGACTTACAGAGAACTCACCAAAAATCATTCAAGCTTCTAGTGTACGTTCCATTTTCTGCCACCATCCAATGTTATAACCAGCGTTGTATTTAGACATCACGCAGCCCTAGGCTCATCTGAAGTCTCCAGCCTTGCTTCATGTGATTATTTTAGTAAACACTACAGCTAGAATGTGCTATTGGAAGCAGCATTTCTTCTGCTATACATTAAGATCTACTGCTTGGTTGTAGAGACCACCAATAGGAGAAAGGATAGATGTTTATTTAATTAAAAAGAGCCTAATGACTCTTCAACATCCCCTGTGCCATTATCTCTACAAGCTCCACCCTTTGTTTCATGCAATTATTATAGTAAATAATATTGCTAGAATGCACTACTGGGGGCAACATGGAGTGTGCTTTATAAGTAGATCTACTTCCCAATTGTACAGAGCACCAATAGAAGAAAGGCAAAACTATTTCCTAACAAAAATAAACAGCAAATAATCTGCTCATTCCTCTCTACATCCCTTTCTTCCTGTAGTCCTCATAATGATTTAAGCCACCAATGTCTAGAGGTACATAAAAGAGGGGAACACAATAACAAATAAATGATCATGATTACATTTGAAAATATTGAAGCTTGGTGCGGCCCCCTCTAACCCCACTATCCCCTTATAGTGGGAAAGCCCACCCCTGGCCTGGTAATACTTTCTTGATGGATTGCTGTTGAGTCCTTTCTTTTGGATTAGAGAAACAAGTATTACTGTCTTCTGTTACCACCAAAATGTTAACTCTTCACACACTATAATGATTGATGTACCCTATCAATGTTATTGCAATATCTATATATGTTACCTATATGTTATATGATACCTGTATATGTTTCCTCTCGACTATCACCTAAACATGAGGAACAGTCAAATATTTTGATGTGTCTGAAGACCAAATAGATGTTTATTTAATGAATTTTTGTGAAACTTGATTATGTTACTGATTTGGAATTATGGACTGGGGAATTTATTTAGCAGTTGATTTTGTATGTATTTATGATAAAATCTAATATTTATTCAGGTAGCTGAATTGATATTTGATACTTTGTGATTAACTATGGATTGCCTGGGTATTGGGGATCTTTGCATAATTTTTGGATTTAGGTATAATTAGAACTACAGACCTAGGTTCTTTTCAGACCGATGCCTATGGAGTGCTGTGTTGGTTGAAGGCAGTGTGTTTTACATCAAATTTTAATTGATTGTGATCATTCTATGAGAACAGTTCAGGAGGCTTGATTTGGACTTAGTTTGGGTTAAAATTGATATATTAGTTCATTACATAGAATTTTGTTTGCTTACATAGGTCAGACTCCATGAGGGCCTGTTTAACATGAAGCTACTATTTCTGACAGGGAGAGAATACAACTCAATGTTAGCATTCATGGCTATCCTTGAGACCCCATTCACACTGAGCTATTTGTAGCGCGATTTCAGCTCAAAAATCGCTCAAACATCAGCTCAATGTAGCTCAGTGAAGGTTGTCCAATGCATTTCAATACAGCTGTTCACATCTCACAGCTCAATGTCGCCTGTAGCTTGTAGCTCAAGCTTGTCGCTTGAACATGACCTATTTTTCGGCGGATTTCGTGCTGAATAGACTTCAATGGTGTAGCTCAATGTCGCACACTACCAGTGATTTTGCGCGACGTTGTCGCGCTACAGAAGTGTCACTTTTGCACAGAAATATAAGCAGGAACATAAGCAGGAAACAGGAAGAGGAATATGTCACAGCAAGACCGCTTTTGATTGGATACAGCCCAATGTAGCAGCTACGAAGTCCATGCCAAAAGTAGCGCTATGTAGCACGACAATATGTGCACTGTAGCTCATTGTAGCTCAATGTCTCCCAACGTCACCCAGCTCAAATCAGCGCTGAAATGATGATGTAGCTCCGTGTGAATGGGGTTTGAGAGATAAGAACGCAGCGCTACAGCATCTTCGAAATGGAGATTCAAATCTTTACAAAAACGCTTTCTGAACTTGTTCTCTTTAAAGTAAAAGTTGATTAAATAATAATTTCAGTTCTGTCTTCTATGGCACTTACCAAACGGTCATGTGGATGTATGTTGCAGTAGCTGCTTGACTGTGGAATATGAGAAGAGTTGCCCAACATTCCCCCATAGCCAGCTTGGTTCATTCCACTCGAACTCCAAGGATCACTGCTGTGGTGACCATCTGGAAAGAAACAGAAAGGAAAAGCCAGTAAAATATTTTGCCACAAATAAAATATATATTTGATATGTTAGAATTTATATTGCGAAATATAAATGTGCAGCATTCTAAGTAAAGGGTTAAACCTCTAAGTATACCTCCTGGGAAGAGCATACCTAGAAAAACTCCAGGTTGTTCTTAATTGCAGGGTACCAATCACTGAGTAAATGGCATGGAGAAATCATGCTGACAGGTTCCATTTGAATTGTACCTATATTTTAACAAACAGCAATTCCGAAGTAGGAATTTGGAAGCATTGCATTACATTCTGGCTCCGAAATCCCAGCTCTGATCTCCTTTTGGTGAGGATCCCATTGAAGGAGAAGTGAGAATGCAAACAGCAGGCTAAGTCTATATTAGAGGAAGCTACTGTGTGGGTAAATGTCAAAGGAGAACTATGGGGTTAGGGCTTTTCCCCATAGTTCTCCTTAGGGTAACGGGAGGACACAAACTATCGTCCTCCTGTCACCCTAGGCTCAGTATACCGCGAGCTACAGCTCGCGGTATACTGAGACGCCGCAGCTGAAGCGGATCCCGACAATTATGTCAGGATCCGCCCATCTGCGTGAGTGACAGCTGGCTCTGCCAATCTAGAGGCAGAGCCAGCTGTACCCGCCCCCTCCTCCGTCCGTTCCGCCAGTCAGCGCTGGCGGATCGGAGCAGGGAGGGGGGAATCCAGCCCCTCACCTGTCACGGCAGAGAGCCGTGACAGGATCGAGAAGTGAGCGAACGCCGGTATGTGTTCGCTCACTTCCCGATCTGATGAGCCGACCTATGATCGTTTCATTGTCACAGGTCGGCTAGAACTATGAGGTGAGTGAAAAGCACTCACCTCATAGTTCTCCTTTAAGGGTTAAAAATGGATATTGCTTAGAGCGTATGTAAATCCTGACAATTAACTCTTATTTGCTACCTTTTGGTCTTTTAAATACACCATTCAAAGTGTTTTGTTATATGTATTCGGTAAGTGCAAAACATAAAAACAACTGGTAATGATGTCAGTAATTCAGAACTGTCCTGAGCCCTGAGCACACTTCCTGTGTTATCTCAAGGAGTTTTATAAGCCTTCCTAGTTTGTATCTTGGACTACAGAATAATTTGCATCTATGGTTTAAAGTTGAGGGCAGTGGGAGGGTTTGAGCATCTTAGCAAAAGACACCTGGGAAGGGCTGACACCATTTAGTCGGCATAAGTGTTATCAGCCCACTACAGGATTTAGAAATTAATTTCTGGCAGGTCAACAGGCATTTTTCTGTACCTGCATCATCTTTGACGGGATAAACATCCCTGACATACACTTTAATCACTAACAGGGTTATTCACAAAAGGGTGAAGAGTTTGTAGAAGGCCAGAGAAGTGAACAATCTAGGACAACATAGCTGAACTGGAAAGTGAGCTGAAGGGGAGAATTTTTCAAAATCAACCATTTTGGCCTAGATTGTTCACTTATCCTGCCTTCTCCAATCTCTTCACCCTTTTGTGAATAACTCTGTAAGAGTAGCCATCGATTTCTACACAGATAGAACACATTGATCTAGATGGTGTAAGATACAGAAGTAGCATGCCATAGCAATTATGAGCATGATTCATTACTACAAATACTTGTGATGCTTACACCACAGGAAGCCATTTGATCCATCTGTGTAGTTACTGAGCTTCTAAATTAAGCCATGTGACCCTGCCCTTAATTTCCCATGTTTGAAATGGCATATTTCTATACACATCTGTCAGCATTTTCTTGTTTTATAGTCATATAGCTGAACAACATAACATACACAAGAAAAAAATACTACAAATCATTCCTAGTAATAAAAAAATCAAATATAACCCAGTTTAAGAAAGCTGTTGTAAAATGTACACAATCAGCAAGACTTTATGTATGAGAGATGGGACTTCTATAGTACTGTTGACCTTTTCAAAATAAAACCTTCTTTTACCCCCCACCTTTACTGTAGTTTTTGTTGTGGTTTTGGTTTCTTGTCAAAACCCCAGGTGCAATTTTAATCAGATAAGCAGGTGTAGTATACAGTTCTAATATGGCATTGTATATCTTCTCCTAATTGGGTGAAAAAGCCCAAAATGACTTGTCCCATTGTCAAAGTCCATCACAAATAACATGCATTCTGTGGTAAGGAGGATTTCAGCTTTGGATGTTTCCGCTAATTTATTTTCTTTGTCAAACCGACTCACCCCCAGTTTGAACTTTCCCACTGTAGAAAGGCTTGTCCAGCTCTAAGTCCTCCTGCTAAACAGCTTATCAACTGAATTTACTGTCCTGCTTTGTAAATATGGCTCTAGCTTCCCTGTTTAATTTTTCTTTACCAATTAAAAAAGTTGGCAAGCGCAGCACCATAGTTATGATGCCAAATTTTGGAAAGACTGTTTCATTACTGGATTTGCAACAATTAAAGAGATTTCAAAGTTCCCTCTTCAGAGAGGGCTATAAACCCCGTGCCAAGTTGTACTTGTGAAGCAAATTATGTAATTTACAAACTTTATTCACTCAATTACAACTTCACATGGGGCAGCGGCTGAGTCGCATTCTGTCCAAGAAGGACAACTTTTTGTTCTAGATGTCTGGATGCTTGTAGCCACAGTAACACAAGCAATCATCAGAGATAATGGTGGCCACAGATATTATACAAAGGTTGGACGTATGTTCATGATCTGACCAAAAACAGATAATTCCTTTTCACAGATGCAAGCATACACATGCACACTTGTATTGCCCCAGCAGGCTTGTCTGTTTGCAGACAGACTTATGACAGGGAAGAACAGCAATTGGCTCAGAAGCTAAAACCAGATTTGGCAAATTTGACACCCCTAAAATCATTGGCTAGAGATATTAACATAGGATCCTTTTATCACCCAATCCTGCTAAAATTAGGAAGGACGATTATCATCAAAATAGAAAACTATGAATCGAGTTATAAGAATGCTTACTAAGTACAGACGTCAGTCTACTTCAGTAGTGCTTACAAGATATAGTGGGGCTCAAATGTATCCCTAGATGTTTCCAAAGGGCCACATAGAATATTTATTATATGTAATGTTACAGAGCATGGTCATAGACTAGAAACTTACTAGAGGAAATGGTCAGAAAATATACTATAGGAGTGGTTGGAGAATATCTCTAGCAGTTTCATGGAACATGTCCGTAGTCAGTCAGAGACTAGGGGCATATTACATGGCATGGCTAGAGATTACTGCTAATAAAGGCCCCTTTACAAACCACTACTGGCTGCTGGAGCTTGTGGACCACGCTTAAAGTGTGGTCCCCCCCATGCTGGTGTAAGGACTGCACGCTGCCTGCGTTGACTTACCCTGTGTCTCTCCTCTTCTCCCGATCTCTACTGTGCTTGCGCCCGCCCGAGAATCTTCAGATACTTGGACCGGAGCGTACGGCGGAGACACAGGTAAGTGGTTTTTTAAAAATGTTTTTGCATGTATCTGCTGCTTGCTAGCCTACCAGTAGATATATGCAGAAAAGCACAAGGGTTTAATGTCACTTTAAATGAGGCGACCAGAGGGTCGCATGTGGCCCTCAATCCGCAGATTGGGCACCAGGAGTCAATAGTCAATTCTCTATGTGTCTATTATAAAGAAAACCTATGCTTACTGTTATATTTACAATATAGATGTAAATGTGATATGTCTACTTAGCTGCCTCCCCTTAGCTCTCCTAGAACACAATCTCCAATTCGGGTTGCTGTAAAGTAATAAGAATAAGACCAATCTGTGTTTTATGGAAATAAGCCTGCCTCAAATCTGAGCAACATAGATAGATCAAATGATAATTTGCATTAGGGGAGGTTACCTTTAGAGAACAGTGCAAGCCAAAACAATGAGTAGAACCTAAAAGATAGTCAGCTGAATTTATATGCAAATCTAGACCTGCTCTCTAGATCTCAAACTTGACCGCAAGCCTCCCATGTATCTTATTTAGTAAATAAGGTCACCCATCATATTAAGAGGCCATTAGAGAGTCTTGGAAAAAGGTGGAGGCAACTTGACTTCTAGAGAGTCCTGGAAAGGGTTAGAACCAACATCACTTCTAAAAAGTATTCGGTAGAGCCAACCTGATTTCTTGAAAGATTTCGAAAAAGGTAGAGCCAACTTGACTTCTGCAAAGTCTCAGAGAATGGGAATAGCCAACTTGACTTATAGAAAGTCTCGTAAAAGGGTAAAGCCAACTTGACTTCTAGAGGGAAGTCAATATTGGCTTATAACTTCAGCAACCTATACATGAATCTGGATATATTGCATAAATCAAATTCAAGCTTTCAAAGAGCAGAAGTGGGCAATGAATAAAGGGATGGCAGATATAAAATGCATTACTAATAAATCTACCTATTATTAGATCATGAACATTAAACTATTTGATTTATTAATGTAATGCTCACTTGAAAGTAAATTTGGATGTGACTTTCGGTTTCAAATTTCCATAAGTGTATTTTATATGAACATCTGTAGACTGTCCCTATAGTTGGCTGTCTGTGTATTATGCAATATTATCAACATCTGGCACACCAACAGCTCAGATTACAGGATAAATCATGTAGAAAGTATGGTGTTTTCAATCAGCCCCAGCAGACGGTGAGGGAGAGAAACAGTAAAACCCAATCACTGTTTGACACAATTTAGAAAGCAGAACTACTGGGAAAATATGGCTGCCTCCGTGTACAAATACAAATGAGAAACCAAGACTACATAAGCATTTATACACTTATGTATATTATATTATGCATTATATTTAATCTGATCAAAGTGACAGTGAAAAGTATAGCCAAAAAACTAAGGACTGTAAATTGCCTTTATTGACTATATTGCATGAATTATAGTGGTACTTCGGTTCACGAACACTTCTGTTTGCGAACAATTTGGTTCGCAAACAGGAAGTTCGGCAAAACTTTGTTTCCGTTCGCGATCTCCGCATTGAGTGACAAACACAGTTGCAGCCATCTTCCCTGCTCTGACACATGGTCGTGGCTTCCTCTAGCCAAGATCACGGTCTGATAACAGTTTGATTCAGTTTGCGACCAATTTAGTTTGTTACCAGAATCGTGGAACGAATTAAGTTCGTGAACCGAGTTACCACTGTATTTCCAAGTTCGGAAAGAGGTGCTGTGACTCTAAATGAATTATTACCAACTGAGATTGGGAGCTTCAAAGTCATAAACATCAAAGTCAGTCAGCCACTATGACCTTGCACAGTTCTGTTGCTTTAACATATTTCAATTACCAGGGGCTGAAGAGTAAGGTGTTTAGGCACTTTCCATTGGGGGGTGTGCAGGGCTTGGGTTGAGGAGCACAGTAGGGTGATGATGTTCTTTTATAGCCGCCCATTATGCAGGCAAGGGACACAGCAAACTAGCAAAAGGAAACCATGCTCACAAGCTGCTGGCTATGCTATCTAGTCGGGATGCCTTGATCAGAAGGCTGACTAAACAGAATTACAAATCTTTTGGCAGATAAACCAGTTTACAGATAAAACACACACATTGACTCCGATGGTTTGCAATAGACAGCACAAACACACTATTTTTTTAAAAATTTTTATTTACTAAAAGAACACTACTTTAGAAGGCAAACACATACAGTATAATAAGCCATACCTTGCATGAAGAAGGAGCTAGGGAAAGTGCTGGAGGCTGGCTTCGAGGATGGATAACCTGGTGAATCCCTATTGTAGTCGGCAGTGCTTGCTGACGGGGCATAAACCTGCAAAAAAAATATCTGATTGAATATAAAAAGTACACAAAGCAAACAGAGTGAATAAATAAATGCATCAATAATGCAATTTTAAAACAAATCATCCCATCTATAAAAAAGCATCACAAGGAAACATGTACGCCATTTTTAGGGAGTCTGTATTCCAGCTACTTAAAGCTGAATGCACCAGCAAAACAGAGGGACAAGCCTGCCAGTCATAGACACAGAAGAAGAGAGAGGCTGCATTACAAGTAATTATGTTTTCATTGTCATACTGATATACCCACCATACAAACGTTTTGTTCTCAAATGTATGGCTTTTGGGCCTATCTCAACACAGCTATCCCCTCCCTTCAGTCTATCATGAATGCTGCTGCCAGACTCATCCACCTAACCAACCACTGAGTGTCTGCAACCCCCCTCTGCCAATCCCTGCACTGGCTTCCAATCTCAATCTCCGCTCCCAACTACATCACCAACCTTGTCTCAAAATATCACCCAAATGGTCCTCTCTGCTTCTCCCAAGACCTCCTGATCTCTAGCTCACTTATCACCTCCTCCCATGCTCACCTCCAGGTCTTCTCCAGAGACTCTGCCATCCTCTGGAGCTTCCTTCCCCTATCTCTCCAGATGACTCCTACTACATGCACCTTTAGGGGATCCCTAAAAACTCACATCTTAAGGGAAGCCTACCCTGCTTCCATCTAATTTTAAAATGTACCTTCTCAAACAACTTACCCCCACACAGCTACTTGCTGCTTTATCACTTGCCCCTCCCATTTAGATTGTAAGCTCTCACAAGAAGAGGCCCCTAATCCTCCTATATTCAATTGTATCCTAACTGTATTGTCTCCCTTTTTTTTGTAAATCGAGGTGCAAACTTTTGGCGTTATATAAATCCTGTATAAAAATAATATTAAATTGGAATTTTAAAAATAATAATAATAAAAAAATATTAACACTATATAAAAAAGTATTTCTATAAACATACAAAAAAAACGGGCGAATTGGAAAAAGTTAGGCAACATTATTAAACGCACTTTTATAAATAGGATTACAAAAACCATAAAAGAACATAAAGTTTAACAACAAATGGTGTACACAGCTATTTGATCTTGTAATAAAATAAAGTAAACGACATGTCCTTTTCAAGCAAATACATTTTTACAATTAACTTTCCTAAGAAGTTTTTCAACAACATGACATCAGCGCTCGCCACCCACTGGTCTTTATAGTAAAGCAGTGCAACATGTCTAGTACCTGACAGAACCAATCAGGTTTGAGCTTTCATCAATTTGGAGCAGCTGAAAGAATTTAAATAAATGTTCACCAGTTTCCGTATCATTGGAAAAGACGGGTCTTCCAAACAGGAAGCACCATCATCATAACACCTCATCTTGCTACGGCAACCTTTAAGCTCACGTTTCAGAAGACCACCAATGTCAGTCAGGCCAATCACTGGCCATTTCAGATACAAAATGCTCTATCTGCTTTGAGCAAACGCGTTCAGTCCTCTGGTATTCCAGATTTCATCTGTAGCACAGCCAGAACTTCTCCTCTAGTGAGGCTTCTGCAATCTGAAATGACAAGGTTCCAAGAACAGACAGGGAAGGTCTTTGGGGCTCTGTCCTACCAGCACGCAATCACATCACATTCAAGTGTGTTCACGTGTATTTAAAGCGGACCCTTACTCCTATTGGCTACAAATCACACCAGCATGAAGCTCTGCATGCTGATATGAAATCATCTTACATTCATTAGCTAAACAAACATATTTTTATTTTACTTACAATTTATGTTTTTCTACTTCTTGGTTCTGTTTGGCAAAAGTAATGAAATGTGCCCAAGCATTGCATCCTGGGAAGGATACAAAACATCAGCTGTAATTTCACGAGATCTCAGGGAAAGGTATTTTCCTGCCCTGAGATGATGTGTATGGTTACATGTCCTAGTCACATGTGCCATAGATTGAGGAAGTAAAGGGAGATATATTAATCTGCCCTTAGTAAAAATGGCCACTGTGAGGGGAATGGGGAGGAAAAGAGAAATAAGGTATGCAAAGAATAAACAGCCAGCAATGATCTAGCAGTATGTGTTTGTAGATTGTCATTACTAAACATTCCTAAAGGTGGCTTTGTTGTTATTTTGAAGATATGGATAAAGTTCCTCATTAAGACACGCTGCTTTACATTTTTTAAAGACCCGATTTCAACTCAGGTCAATATACCAAAAAAGCTGTATTTACTGTATGTTTAGGGTTGCTACCTGTCCAGGATTCACCTGGACAGTCAGGGTTTTGAATGCTGTATCCAGGTTTCATGGCAGCTGAAACCCGGACACATGATGTCAGGCAGACAGGGGCAACCAAAATGAAGATAGGGGCTACTGGCCCCCCACTGAAAATAGTCTCAACTGTGATATTTACATATGAAAGAGTGACGCTATTTACATATGAAGAAGCCACAACTCATTCTCCCCCAAAAACCTCTGTGCGTCGCTACAGTGTTCGGAGTTTCGATGGAAGAAAAGGTGGCAACCCTATGTATGTTCCCTGAACCACCAGAATGCAATGTGCTGGTATAATCAGCATCTATTGCAAACAATGGATTTTCTTGCTTATCCATTTCATCTGGCTGGAAAATGAAGCACTGTGCCTGACATTGCATCTAATGAGATGGAGCTGTCTCAGTCCACCAGGTAGTGTAAACACAAAGGTAGTGACAATTGCTAGCAGAGTTTCTATTGGGCAACACTATCCATTTGACAACAAATAAGGCCCCATATACACAGTTTTTAAACTGCCATATCAAGATACGTTTCTAAAGCTGGCCATACACTGGTAGATTACCATACAAGAATTTATAAGAAAAATCTTGTCAGAAAGTTCGATAATGCCACCAGAGACTTGACGAACATTATTCAAAAGTCCATTTGATTTTATTATTCGATTTTGGAAATGAATGGAGTTTCTCAAACAAAAACCACATTCACTTTTAGAATTTTGTTCCTTCGAGAAAAAAACTCCTGCTCCTTCATTGTATTTTGTCCTTTTTGACCCCATCAACTATTAGAAAATTGAACACATTTGTCCAAACTAAATTCTACTGGTGTAGAATTTGTCTCTACTCCCCTAAGGCAGCATTTCTCAACCTCTTTATAGTCACAGCACCCTTTAAAAGTATGAAAAATCTCAAGGCCCCCTTCACATCAAAGTTCACCTTCAAATCAAAATTTCCCCCACCTTCACATCAGAAGCCCCTCTTTCACATCAGAGTACCTCCTTCAAACCAGAACCCCTCTTTAATTCAGAGTCCCACTACCACAAAATGTTGAGGCACACCTGAGAAAGCCAGAAGGCACATTAAGGTGCAACGGCACCCTGGTTGACAAAAGCTGCCCTAAGGTACTCTTTGACTTTCTGCCAGAAAGACTTGTTAACCTGAACAGCTCAATACACAAAAATGGAGAGCAAACTGTTCCGTGCAGGTAGGGCTGACTTGACTATGAGTTTGAGAATTTGTTTGTAATGACGCAGCAGCAATTGTTGTTCAGAACTTCATTCAACATCAAGTCTAAGACCCCTTTCACACTGAGCTACAACAAAATAAGTGCTTTTTCAGCCCTTTTTTGAGCTACATTGAGCTACAGTGCACATTTTGTTGCACTACATAGCGCTTCTTTTGGCAGTCCATCAAAGTCTGTTGTGGCCAAATCGCTCGAAACCCGCCGAAAAATAGGTCATGTTCGAGCGACAAGTTTCAGCTACGAGCTACAGGCGGCATTGAGCTGCAAGATGTGAACCTCTCCATTGAAATAAGAGCTACATTGAGTTACAGTGCACATTTTGTTGCACTACATAGCGCTTCTTTTGGCAGTCCATCAAAGTCTGTTGTGGCCAAATCGCTCGAAATCCGCCGAAAAATACGTCATGTTCGAGCGACAAGTTTCAGCTATGAGCTACAGGCGACATTGAGCTGCAAGATGTGAACATCTCCATTGAAATACATTGGAAGAGCTACATTGAGCTTCATATTTGAGCGGTTTGTGAGCGGAAATTGCACTTCAAAACGCTCAGTGTGAATGGGGTCTCAAAGCACACAAGGCGAACGGTACAACTTGTCACTTGCAGATGCAAAATTAAATTTCCATAAAAATAGAAGCATGGCATTAATATAAGGTCCACTGTAGCCCTAATGAAGGGAGCCCTTCACACCCTCGAAATATGTTGGCCTTTTTAAAATGAACTTTGTGACCAATTAAATGTTTGATGAACTGTTAAAAATAGTTTGGTGCTCAATCTGCTATCAATTCTATGACGTTACTCCAAAGACCTAGCTGTGGCTATAGGTGCCTACAAAACTGCCTGTACAAAGCTTCTACACCCCATCAGGATACCTACCACCCGGTGTCCACTGCTCCACCACAGTGTTTCTCTATGAAAAAATAGATATTCGTTTTAAAAGATTTGGCTGACTGGGAACCAACCCATACATGACTGTATACAAACAGTGGAACAGCCAACAAAATGTCTTCGTTCTTAGCATACAATGCTAAAAACTCAATCTTCCATCTGTGCTTAATGGTTCCAGTCAAGCCAATCGGGTTCATGAGGAGCATTAATACTAGAACCTTTTTTTTTTACATTCGTCTTATATTTATTTTCCAAGGCGACTCCCTTGTAACCCCGTCGAACACGTATTTATTGTGCCTCCCTATTTAAAATATAATTCCCGGAACGTGGCTATCAATAGGACCTATAATACAAACATATTAAGCATCATATAATTCCACTGGATGTATCTCTCTTCAAAGGCACATGAAAGACGGCGTTAAAACCTGGATCCGTCTTAGACCACCAGCACACCCTGTGTGTATCAGGGGAAAAATACATTGCATTTTTTTTTCTGAAGGCTTCTTACATGCGTGCCATCAACTTAAAAGCTTGCCAAAGACACATTTTCTTTCTAGTTTAGCCGAACACAAAGAGTTCCTCGGCAGCTACTAAATAA